AGGAAGAGGAACCCGAAGGCAACGATGGGTTGGACGATGCAGCAGGGAACTGAAGCCTCACGAAGTCTGTCCAGGAGTCGAGAGGACCACGAAGACGAGGGCCGCCGGCGAGGAGCACCAGACCCACGAGAAGCCTTGGGATCCTGAGAGGGGGAGAGTGAGAAAAGAGAAAGAAAGAGAGAGAGGGAGGGGGGAGAATGAGAGAGGAGAGAGAGATTGAGAGACAGAGACACAGAGAGAGGGAGAGGGGGGGAGAGGGGGGAGAGAGAGGAAAGAGAGAGAGAGGAGAGAGAGAGAGAGAGAGGAGAGAGAGAGAGAGAGAGAGATCGAGAGGAGAGAGAGAGAGAGAGAGAGAGAGAGAGAGAGAGAGAAGAGAGAGAGAGAGAGAGAGAGAGAGAGAGAGAGAGAGAGAAGAGAGAGAGAAGATAGAGAGAGAGAGAAGAGAGAAGAGGAGGGAGAGAGAGAGAGTGAAGCGAGAGAGGAGGGAGAGGAAGAGAGAGTGAGAGAGGAGAGAGAGAGAGAGGAGGAAGAGAGAGGAGTGAGTGAGTGAGTTGAGTGAGTGAGTGATGAGTGAGTGAGAGAGAGAGAGAGAGAGAGGGAGAGAGAGAGAGAGAAGAGTGAGTGAGTAGATAGAGAGAGAGAGAGAAGAGAGAGAGAGAGAGAGAGAGAGAGAGAGAGGAAGAGAGAGAGAGAGAGAGAGAGAGAGAGAGAGAGAGAGAGAGAGATGACAGACAGACAGACAGAAGAAGAGAGAGACAGACAGACAACAGACAGACAGTAGAGAAGAGAGAGAGAGAGGAGAGGAGAGAGAGAAAGGAGAGAGAGAGAGAGAGAGAGATGTGAGAGAGAGAGAGTGTGAGTGAGAAGAGTTGAGGAGAGAGTCGAGAGAGTGAGTGAGAGAAGAGAGAGAGAGAGAGAGAGAGAGAGAGAGAGAGAGAGAGAGAGAGAGAGAAGACAGAGAGAGAGGAGTGAGAGAGTGAGAGAGTGAGAGAGTGAGAGTTCAGTTGGTGTGTGGAGGTTTATGTTAGTATAACAATAAGAATAAAGAATGATAATAACGGTGATGAAGAATGATGGTGATGTGTGGTCATATGATGCTGGTTCATGATGATAATGGTGATGATGGTGGTGTGAATGGCGATGGTGGTGATAGTGTGGTTGTGAATGTGGCGGTGATGATGATGTATTAATAGATGTGGTGGTGAATGGTGGTGGTGATGATGGTGTTTGTGGTGATGATGGTGATAGTGGTGATGATGATGGTGGTAATGATGGTGATGATGGTTTGTGGTGGTGAAGGTGATGATGGTGTGATTGGTGGTGGTATGATGTGGTGATAGTACGGTGATGATGATGTGTTAGTAGTGATGGTGATGATGATGATGGTGGTGGTGATTATGATGGTAGTGGTAGTGATGGTGATGATGGTGGTGGTGGTGATGATGATCCTGATGGTGCGGTGGTGGTGGTGATGGTGATTGATGATGTGGTGTTGGTGGTGATGATGATGATGATGATGATGATATGATGGTGTGGTGGAGATGATTGATGATGATGATATGGTGGTGGTGGTGGTGGTGATGATGATGATTGATGATGATGAATGATGATGATGATGGTGAGATGATGATTGATGTGGATGATGGATGATGGATGATGGGTGATGGATGATGGTGATGGTGATGATTGATGATGACAGAATAAAAACAGTAAAAACAACTCACTTTGAAGAAATTCTGTTCACACTGGCAACCACGTACGTATTGAACGCCCGGCCCAAAGGATGGTTTTTGCCGAGAAGGCGTTTTAACACCTAAAAGGAATATATTTGTGGGTTCAAATCGCCTCCATAAACATAATTAGAAACAACATATCGATATTTACATATAGTCAGACACGTACAAAGACACACACACACACTATTCATGTTGACAAAGGTGGAAAGGTATGAATGAGAACGAATATCTTCACAATACAAGAGATGTATTTAGCCGGTTTCGATTATATCTTCGTCAGAAATACATGTGATCTATGTCAAAAAAAACACATTTACAACTTCTCTTCCTCATACTCCTGTACTTTCGAATAATGAAATCTTGAGACATATATGTAGTCAGACACGCGCGCGCGCGCACACACACACACACACACACGCACACACACACACACACACACACACACACACACACACACACACAACCAGAACCATAACTTCCTCATATTCCTGTGCTTTCTAATAAGGAAATCTTGAGACATATACGTAGTCACACACACACACACACACACGCACACACACACACACACACACACACACACACACACACACACACACACACACACACACACACACACACACACAACCAGAATAAGGAAATCTTGAGACCTACCTGGAAGTAGAAGATTGCCAAGCCCACGAGCGCCGTGAGGACTATCAGCAGCCCATCAGCCTCGCACCAGTAACTCTGGGGAAGAATATCACGTCAGTCACTTCTTTGTGATG